CTCGGCTTATATTCGGGTCGGCCTATACTCGAGTATATACGGTAGTTAAGAAGGATTATCCTTAACTATTCCCAGTGAATATCTATAGTGATGCAAATAGTTGTTTTAGTTTGGCAAGGTTTCTAGGTGAGGAACAATAAGAGAAAATGCTCGAGGGTAACTGGGGCCTGACACATCATTTACATTGTCACCTATCCTTTATACCTAGCATTTACTTTTCCCAAGTCATTATCAACCTTTGCAAGATTATCAGCTTTTGGCACCACATCTTGCCAGAGATTTATGCTAACTGTTTATAATATAAGTTAACAGTGCTTTATGTAAGTAGGGTTACCCTGACGGCAGATGGACCTAGCAAGTTTCTAGGCCATGAAAGTTTCTTGTTTACTAAGCATTTTGAGACTAAATTTGTATACTATTCATTTTATCTCTGGGTTATGGTTGCAGAGAAGTCTGATTGTTGAAGATCAACAATTTGTTTTTGAGAATATGCCTCATTTGACTCAATATTTCTTTGTCTCTCTGATTCATTATGTTGAATTAGATAAGACTTATACTTGTATCAAGGAAGTGATTAATATCCCACAGAATTATGATTGCCATAAAATTATATAGTTTTGAGACCCTCCTCATGTCCCAAATTATTTTTGTTCAAACTATTGCCAATCAAAATACAGGTAGTCCTCAACTTACAGCCACAATTGAGCCCAAAATTTATGTTGCTAAACAAGACAGTTGTTAAGTGAATTTTGCCCCATTTTATGATTTTTCTTGCCAAAGCAGTTAAGTGAATCATTGCAGTTGTTAAGTTAATAGCATGATTGTTAAGTGAATCTGGCTTCCCCATTGACTTTGCTTGTCAGAAGGTTGCAAAAGGAGATAACACTGCAAAATAAATATGACTCAGTTGCCAAGTATCTAAATTTTGATTGTGTGATCAAGGGGATGCTGCAACGGTTGTAAGTGTGAAAAACAGAAGTCACTTTTTTCAATGATGTAACCTTGAATGGACACTAAATGAACTATAGTAAGTTGAGGACTACCTGTATTCACTTTTAGATCAAAGTTCTGGAGGCGATACTGGTGTGCATTCTGTCTAAAGTTACCATGCTAAAAATGGGGTTTTGGCACATTCGCAATGTAGCAGTGTTTTTTATAGTGTCCTAATCAGTTTTCTCATTTGTTATTTTAATTAGGCGAGTGGTTGAGCAGAATGTTTGTTCGTACATATGCTCGTAGACATTCTTGAATTGCTGTTTTAAATCTAATGTAGCTTTATCTTTTCTTCATCTTCCACACAGAAAATTACATTGTTGGATTATGATTAGTTAGTAGCTTGTAGAGACAGCAGTTGGCTGGTTTTGCCTCTAAATTGATAATAAAGTTATCAAAAATAAACCTTAATATAAAAGCAATTGCTGGACTCAGATTTAGAAACTCGAAAAACGTATTTGTTAGCGTCTAGCAATTCTCTAAAGATAAAATATGCATAACCACATTGTTATAGAAGAGACACTGTATTTTTGGTCTATAAGATGCATTCCCCCCCTCCCCCAGGCAGTGGGGATTGCCACCACCTATTGCCACCACCTATTGCCACCTCCTATCGCCACCACAGAATGGCAGCAGCAATAGGCAGTGGCAACCCCTGCTGCCTAGAACAGCTGATTGGCGATATTCCGGGAGGCCAATCCAACTGTCAGTCTGCTCAGCAGCAAAAGCTCCAGCGTTATCGGCAGAGGAAGCAGACACAGAGGAAGCAGAAATTGGCAGGGTTTCCAGTCAGCCAGCCCACTGATGAGCGGGGCTACGGGAGACTGGGATCCAGCTGTCACTCAGCTGACCAGTGGTGTACACAACAGAGAGGCCTTGACGACCCACATGCTGGGGCTGTGATAACGTGCCAAAGCTGACCAGACTGCTGTTTGTTGCAAAGATGCTAGGCAGATGAATACCGGATGGATGCTGGGAGGCAGAGGCAGATTTTTTTTTCTTGTTTTAATCCTCTAAAGCTAATGTGCGTCTTATGGTCCGGAGCGTCCTATAGACTGAAAAATATGGTAAATACATCTGACACAATTTGTAGCCTAAGAAATATTTCATGAATCCCTGGATCTGATCTGTTACCCATCATGTGGTTTAAATGGTATCAATAAAAATATCCAGTGTCCAGAATTATCTATGGATACTTTCTAAACAATATACTATTGAGTTCAAGAAATAAATCTACAGTAATTAAACACACAACTGCTGTTGTTAATCATAATAGTAGAAAAATACAAATAATACTGCTTGACAGGACCCATTTCCATGTTTGTTGTTAAATTATTTAGCTAATTATCTTAGTTGTGATTATTTGATAGCCCTATTCACTAGTATTTTACTTTTGGCTATAAGGTGAGAGAGAAATATAATAATAATAGTAATATCCTTTAGAATCCTAATTGCTTGATCACTGACACTTTACAGCAAAATTGGCATATATATATTTGAACTTACCCTAAAAGTTAAAATATTTTTCATATAAGTAGGGAAGCACAACTTTTTATATTGTGGACATCGTTTCAGCATGGTTTGAGAGCAAAGAAGTCTATTTCAAACTTCATTCGAATGTCATGAGAAAGGCCAAGACTATATTTAGCTGAAACCTGATCTAAATAGTCCTAGGATTAAATTCTTTCACTTAACACTATAGCCAATTTCTATAGCTACTAAAGTGTTTATTCTTTTACAATCATTTATATCAAAGCTTATGAATTTCAGAAAAAAGGAAATGTTAATACTGAAATAGCCAAAAAGCTGTAATTTGATTTCTATGCCAAGAAACTATAAATCAAGAATAAGTAACTCAGTAACTTCCCAATATTTTACACTACAACTGTATTTCTGCCAGTGATTATGTTGATTGAGCTTGGTGAAAGTTCAAAACTTTTGATGAATGCTGCAATAATGCCTTTTATTGCCTTATATTTACATTTATATTGGCAGTTTTGCTTTATTTTTGAGTTCATAGGTGTGTCAAAAATTCCGATATAACCTAACCAAAAAACTTGTCCATGAGATTTATGATTCTTCCAATAGCTCCATTCCAATGCTGGGAAAACAGGTGATGATTATTGTTTTGAGACCTTAGTTGCATCAGAAGAGTTGCCCCACAGGTGACTAGATATAGGGGCCTTAGGCCTTAGGAACAAGATAGACTGCAGCCTGTAAGGTTTTGTGATAAAAATAATTTTTCTGCAGTGGTTCCACTTCTTCGTTAGTAGGAGGTTTCAGTTGCTGTGTGAGGACGGAAAGTGGTATATCCATCAGTCAGGTTACTGTAACACATTCCACATGAGCTGCCTTTTAAGATGCCCTTAAAAGCTTCTATTAATCTAAAGTGCAATGGGCCTTTTGCTAAAATTGAGCATAGTATTTCAGCCTATGCTACCATCACTATACTGGATATGGTTCAATTTCTGAATCCAGTTCAAAGTGCTAGTTAGGCTCACATGGCTCTTTTATATGTAGACAACCGTGTCTCATAGCAAGATCTACTAAGCATCATGCATTGTAGAAGTATGGGATATCCTGAACCTCTCTATCCTTTCAAATATGCCAGTATACCAGGTTATATGGAGATGAGGAAGCACAGGTAAAAGGAGCAACTAACTCCACCGATAATGCTCATTACATTTTTGGACCCACTCTATTGGCTGTTACTATAATATTTTAAATTCCTATTGCATGGCAACATCAAAAATAGAAAAATGATAAAACTTATATCTGTGGTAGGATCCTATCACTTTAAGCAGTGCATTTTTTTAATTTTTGAAGACGTTTATTAAAGAACTTCAATCACATTCAAAGACAATGCTTAAAAGGCAGGGTGGTAGGTGGTTTTATTGTCGTTTTGCAGGCTATAACAATGTATTTTTAATTTCAAATCTATGAAAACAGATATTGGAGATTAAAACAAATTAAAATTGTGCAAGTTGTATATTTTCTTTCATAACATGCAATATGCCTAAGAGTTGACTTTCTAACGTAATGTAGGAGGTGACCTAGTATTATTTTTATACAAATCTAAAATGTAAGGGCTTTAGGTTTCTTTGTAATCCAAATTATTATGGATTGCTGTCATTCTAATGTATTTTTGTGATAGCATACAGTTCTAATCATGTTGTCTAACCTAAGAAATAAAAGTTGAAAAGATACAATGAAATGTTAAGTAAGTGTTTGAGAATTAAAATTAATGCTTTTATTTCAATATTTTCAATAATGAATGGAAGATCTGAGATAATTATAAGTAAAAATAATAGTAGTGGATTGAATTGTTTATTAGTATGCAAAAACAACTGTTTCTTTTTCAGAGTGTTAGACCCACACCCCAAAATGAAGCTATCACAATCCATTTCAAGCCAATTACATTGCGAGCTTCTGAAAATAAATATACCAAAGTTGCAACTATTAGTTTTGATGGTACGTGATAATGTTGGTAATAGCATTCAGTGAAATCAAAATAGGTTTTTAAATTTTAGTTTTTATTCAAAGCTAAGAATATTTTAATGAATATAAATAAATGTATTACTATTTGCTTTTATTTTGAAAATAGTTATTTAATATTATACATTTAGTAAACCTTTATCTAGGGGACATAACTAATTATAATCAATACCTCATGTGGATTTCAACAGGTTGCATGAATTACTTGCAAAAGTAGTTAATTTAAAAGAGGAATCAGTGAACACAATCAGGGATAAATTGATTTGTGACTGCATATGATTGGTTGTTCATCAAATTGCAGCAAACATAGCATACCTCAACTTCAGCAAAGTTCTAAAGAGGCTCTCATGAGATTTTTATATAGAGGATGGCAAAGAGAGTGGGCTACGCTACCATTAAATGCTTAAAAAGCTAGCTAATGATTGTATTCAGTGAGTGTTCATCAGCAACTTAAAAGGAAAAAAAACCTTTGAGGAACATTGGGAGGAACTGAGCATGTTTAGCTTGGAGAAGAAAAGTCTGCTGAGTGACAGCTGTCTTCAAATTTTTGAAAGACTGCCATGTCAAAGATAAAATTGATAAAATTGTTATTCCAAGAAAGAAGGGTTATGTGCTGCTGCTTTAAATGTTTCAGCAGATGCCATATAATGTAGTAATGGATTCAAGCAGTGAGCTGAAGTTTGCACTACTGTAGATTATCTGCATGGTCTTCTCCAATCCTTAAATTTTACTGTTTACTGTATTTGCTTCAATATACAGTAGTACACAAAACAATTCAAAGTGTAGAATATGTTGAAGACTCCGTTTTCTCCTTTTGACTAAAAAAAATAAAGGAGTACTTCACTTTTAGTTAGTAGTTAATGTCTTAAAGTATTATGCTTAAATATCAAAATAAACAGTTACATTCTAATATGTGTTAAAATATGTATAGTTAAAAATATAAACATTGATTCTTTTTATTCATGTATGTGTATGCAAATGTGCATATATAGCATCAAAAGCGAAACGACCTGCACAATTTTCTGGAAAAATAACTGTGAAAGCAAAAGAGAAGACCTATTCAAAACTTGAAATTCCATATCAGGCAGAAGTATTGGATGGGTAAGGTTACATTAGCATGTGTTTTTTTTTAATTGCTTTGCATTTTTGACTTTGCACAACATTTTATAGACAGGTAGTTAAACAATTGCATAGCTCTTGATAGCGATGTGAAATTACTTCAGGCTTGCGAGATATAGTTTATTTGAAGAGTGTCAAAGCAAGATTATGATTTTTCCATTGTTTTCCTGGATTTGGGGAAAGGGCAGTATATATCCTTCACTATTGATTTCTATTAAATACGATGTAATTGAACTGGATAGCATGGAATAATTTATCAGAATCATGTTATTGAAATAGAGGGTATGTCTGTATAGGTGGGGGATACCCTTTGGCCGTGGCCCAGTACTGGGCCATGGCTGGTTCGGAAGTGAGTTGTATGAGTGGTAGGCTGGCACACGCAACTCAACTCGCATGAGCAAGCAATGAGCCGACCCACACCAACCCAGTTGGAAGGGCCAGTTTCTCCCTCTCCTCCCCCCTCAGTGGGCCCCCAAGTTACAAAGATTGGGGACCACTGCTATATAGCCTTGGGGTTGGAAGTTGCCCACTCTTTGTTTATTTGAATGACTTTATGTCTAATTTTGGCAAAATATATTAATTGAGATATATTTGTTTGTTTGGGAATTTATGTTGCTGCCTGTTCACAGATGGCGACTTAAGGCAGCTTACAAGAATATAATATATATATAAACAATAAAACTAATAAAAGAGAGAACCATATAATAAATAATATAGTAATAAAATAACACCTCACCCCACTCCAACAACAACACATCCCACGAGCCATCAAATGAGCTTCATCCTGCTCTGTGTTCCCTAGGCCTGCTGGCAGAATTAGGCCTACAGTGCCTTCAGGAAGAGAGAGTGGGGGCCATTCTAATCTCCAGGGCAATGAAGTTCCAGAGAGAGGGAGCCACCACGGAGAAATCCCTCCTTCTGGGTCCCGCCAGGTGTATCTTCCTAAGGGATGGGACCCGCAACATTCCTTGCCTCCCTGCTCTGGTGGATTGGATAGATGTGAGAAGAGACGATCCTTCAGATAACTTGGTCCCAATCCATGAAGGGCTTTAAAGGTGACAACCAGCACCTTGAATTGCATCCAGAAGCAAATCTGCAAACAATGCAGCTCCCACAGGAGAGGTGATACACTGAATGTGCATAAAACCATGCAGATTGCTACATTTTGCACGAACTGAAACTTCCAGATGCTGTTCAAGGGTAGCCCCATGTATAGCATGTTGCAATAGTCAAGATGGGAAGTGACTAGGGCATGAGTGACCGTGAGTAGGGCTTGTTGGTCCATGAAGGACATAACTGGTGCACAACCTGCAGTTGCACAAAGACCCTCCTGGGCTTTTTAATCTGGAAATGAAGAATAAGTTTGGGTTTAAAATGCTTTTTGCAGAAGTACTATATTAAACTTTCCAAAACAATCTTAATTCAGTGTTGTTAGAAATGTGTAATAACTACTATTCTCCCCCTCAATGTTGTTCTTTTGAAATAGATATTTGGGATTTGATCATGCAGCAACATTGTTTCATATTCATGACAGTCCAACAGACTCTGTGGAAAGATCAATCTTTTTAACAAACACATTCAATTTTGCAGTCTTCATTCATGATATAATACTTCCTGAAGAAATCAAAGCAACATTTAAAGTAAGCTCCATTATATATGGCATTATTTTATAACTATTCAATGTTACACAAATTGTGTTTAAAGTTAACTGTTGCTTTATTTATTAAACTAGGTTCACAACTTCAGCAAACCAGTTTTAATTCCACCAAATGAATCCAGATATATTTTCACTCTTTATTTTGTGGCTTCTTTATCATCTTTCCACATTGATAACAATATTCTGCTCATTACCAATGCCTCTAAATTTCATCTACCTGTGAGAGTATATACTGGGTTTTTAGATGTGAGTACTACATTATTTGACTTTTTTCCCCTCCCTTGTTTTGAAAATCACTGAGTTTCATTGTAATTTTATATGTAGTGAAGTGTTTTATCTGAACCCAAAATGAAACTTTAAATTTTAGTCTTTCCATTTACTTAAATCTAAATTAAAGGATATGCACTAGCTGTAGAATTCACTTTACACTAATTTGGTGCTTTGGAAAATAGCCTGATGAAATCAGAAGTTGCCAAATATGGTTCCACCACAAAACCGCGGACGACAAAATCGCGGTCGACGAAAGCGTGCATTCGACGTCATCACAGCGCGACAAAAACATCGCGCTGTGATGGAAGCACGCTGTAA